CAAATCAGTTTATTTAAAATTCCTAGTAATTAAGAGTTAGAAATTTTTCGTTTTTTTTTCTGACTGATCTAGTTGAAGGCATATGGCAGCTGACGTTAGTTAGCGAACCTTCGAATGAAGACAATCAATTTATTTCCTATTGCTATTAATTTTCAAATTAAAAACTCTGTACTTACCCTTAAAGTTTTAATATGTTGACTATCTGTTGGAGAGCATTTGAATTTTGTTCGAAAACTGAAGTTAACTTTTAAAAATATGTTGGTCATCAGAGTTTTGGTGTTAAGATTCTTGTTGTTGGTCATTAGGGTTGTTGCTTCCTAACTTTTTTTTTTGGTCCGTGATACGCAAACGAAAAACCGTAAAATAAATGCATCCGATGCTAGTTTGTGAACAGTACCAGTCAACCCATTATGGTTGGTCAGAGACCAATAAACAGTTATATATTTTAACCGTTTTGATTAAACCTTGTGGGAATTCTAAGCTAATTACATCTGACTGTCGATCCAAGACAGTTGTTTTTAAATGATTCCAAGCAATGATTAGAATCTACTGCTCCGTCACTCATCATGACATATGACTCAATTACAGAAATGTTTCAGTTTTTTCTTCTTCTCATCTTTCTACTGATTTCAGTATTCATTAAAATATTAATTCTGCAGTGGCTACAAGAAATACTGTTTACAAAAGCTGTATCGTTATAACGTATATACGGAATACCAAAATTTTCAATGCATTCATTATTAAGTTCTGAATTAAGCGAGTCACCCACTGGGCCTGAGGTTAGTATTTTAACAACCTAGGTTTATTCGTTATGCACTTACAAAAATGACAGCATTCAAAAAATAATTTTATTCCCGTTTCTACAAACTCAGTTATAGAACTATGACGTCACTCGGTAACTTAAATAAGCAATTACTGCCCTTAGTAAGTAATTTACCAACACATAATTCATGCACGTTATATAGTGTCATCATCAAGTTTCTTAGAGTTAAATTGTTTGTTTTAATGTTCCCCTGATGTTTTCAGCATTAAATCGTGTGTTATAATTCTAATAATTTATGAGTGAATAATATGCCAACCACACAATATCTGCAATCTGCAATAATATATCAACCACACTATATCTGCAATATGTAATATGTCAACTACACTATATCTAAAATATGCAATATGTTAACCACACTTTATCTGTAATATGTAATAATAATGTCAACCACACTATATCTGCAATACACAATATGTCAACCACATTATATCTGCAATATGTAATATGTCAACTACACTATATCTAAAATATGCAATATGTTAACCACACTATATCTGTAATATGTAATAATAATGTCAACCACACTATATCTGCAATACACAATATGTCAACCACATTATATCTGCAATATGTAATATGTCAACTACACTATATCTAAAATATGCAATATGTTAACCACACTACATCTGCAGTATGTAATAATATATCAACCACACTATATCTGTAATACCAAGTGCCAACAAGGTGTTAACTTGTGCGCTTTAATGTTCAGTGATGTTTTTTCAATGTTGTGTTTTATAATGTAACTCGGCTGTTTTAATGTTAAATTGTGGGTAATAGTGGTATCCGTATGCTGTAGTGTAAACACAGAGAGTGTGTGTTATATCTGTATTTTAACCCTATTTTAGTTATATGTACTTTTTGTAAGTTTATCTTGAATATTATGGTATTATGAAAATACTGCTCAAAACATAAAATTTACATTTACTATGATTAAGTACAATAATTAGTAAAGTACAAAGTTTATTCACAAGTGTAAGTAGCACATGGCAACAGGTAACAGCAGCACAGCTCCCCAAAAAGATGTGTTGGCTAAAGTTTGAGAAATTATGAGATTTGTCTATAAGAAAGAAACACAACATCAGCATTTCCAAGATTATAAACACTGCTTAATTTTTTAATAATTTCTTACTTGAATCAAAGCATGTATTTGTTTATTTTTGAGGCAGAAGAAACACCCAGCTCTAAGTGATCACCCAAACACACTAAAAAATGTTCAAATTTTCTTTTAACTGACTCACAATCCAAAAGTGACTTCTGGAATAAGTATTTCAGACAAACAGACATACTCAAAAACATCCTCTTCTACATTGACACTGGTGAAGAAAATAGAAATAAGATAATAAAAATGGAACAAACAACAAAATAATGTGTGTTTCCAAACCAAGTATACAACATACGTCAAAACGTGTACAGAGTCAATCGTTTCTGTACTTCATTAGTTTTATGACATCATAGATTTAGCATGTGTGGTAATCTTCCTACATGAGTTCACACTACAAGCCAATCCTTTTCCCACTGTATTAGAAGTCCTAGTAAGACATTTTTGTGTTTTTTTTTTATAACTCAAACCACCACATTCTTCCCTTCTCACAAACAAGGACCACCATTGGGCCTTATCTGAGAATTGTGTAATGCCCCCAATGTTGGGCAACAGTTTTTCATTTTCTAAGATTATCATATTTTTTACTTTTTCTTATTGTAATTTCATTTTTGCATTTCCCACAAGTAAGCCTTGAACTCGGGAATGCTCACCTTCTATAAATGAATGCTCTACTAACTGAGTTTAAGTGTTAACCCATAAGAACAGCTAGTAAAGCATTAAAAAAAATACAATTAAATCTACCACAAATGTTTCCATTACAATCTAAATGGATGAGATGACAGCTAGATGAAAAAAACATTTGAGTTCTCCAAAAGTTTGTCCTGGTACTTGTTAAAATGCACAAAAACCCAGTCTTATAATTGATATATATGATCATCTACTACTAGTAATCACATTCAATGAGAAGACTCACTTCAACAATGTTGTGTCCGAGAAGGCAGACAAACTTTGTATATAAAACATAAACAATGCTGTGTCCTATGTTTTATATACAAAGTTTGTCTGCCTTCTCTACAATGTTGTGTCCTATGTTTTAGATACAAAGTTTGTCTGCCTTCTCAACAATGTTGCATCATTATTTTTTATATACGAAATTTTTTGCCTTCTTAACAATGCCTATACATTATATACACAACCTGTTTGCTTTCTCAATGAAATTCTACTATCAACCCACCTTTTAGCAATTTGGAGTTAAATATATTAGTTACCTATGTACTACAGATGTACTTCAAGCTTTTAAACTACTTTCTTACATGGAGCATTCTTTGACATTTATAACACCATGCACTTCAATCTAAGGTTTATGTTGGTTCTACACCTTGTATGTTATTAAATATAAATAAGCAAATAACCATAAATAATCCTAAGTAAATGCTACTTCTGCTTCATCAGTCTCTTAGACTAGAATGTCAATCTACCTAATCTATCCTTCCCTCTATATTTTAATTATGTGTGCGAGTTCTATGTAAGCAGGTCTGACACATAAAAACTCAAGATCCTGAAGACAGTTACAAAATGTATTATGCTCAAAGTACGAGTCATTATAATGCTATAAATATGCCTTATTATTTAACTTACAGTCATTTCTACAGGTAACTAATAGTTTCTTGTATGCTTGATAGGTGTACTGTTTTTTGATAACTGACACAGTAGATACAAGATGATGCCACATTAGTCCAGTACACTAACTTCCATACTACACCCAGCCTTAACAGTCTAGTTGGATGATTTTTTTAACTAATATTTCTATTAACAACAGTTTTTTACTCACACTAGATGAACCAATATTGTTATTTTTCTTCATAAAAAATTTAAAAGCTGAATGTTTCAGTACATGACTATTCATGGCTTTATTCACAAGTGTGATGTTGGAAGATTCAGTATTGTTATTTCTATTGATGATATACATAATAACTGTTTGAGTGACTTCATATCTTTTTCTAATAATTACATTGTTTGTATCAGATGTTTAAATAATAACATCACATTTTTTTCAGGCTGAATAATTCAGTATTAGTACTCTTCTACAGACAAGATGATTTAGTTTCATTATTTTCATTCACAAATTCTTTTTTAATTAATTTTTTGCATGAAACGTTTTAGTACAAGTGGGTCAATCTATAAACTATTGTTTTTTTTAGTTATGTTACTGGCTCTGCACAAAATAAAGCAAGCTATGAAACACAACTGACAGCTGAAGTTCAAACCTATAGCTATAAAACACAATTGACAGCTGAAGTTGAAACCTATTGATATAAAACCCAATTGATGGCTGAATTTCAAACCTATAGCTATAAAACCCAATTGATTGCTGAATTTCAAACATATAGCTAAAAAACCCAATTGACAGCTGAAGTTCAAACCTATTGCTATAAAACCCAATTGACAGCTGAATTTCAAACCTATTGCTATAAAACACAATTGATGGCTAAGTTCAAATTTATAGCCATAAAACCCACTTGACAGCTGAATTTCAAACTTATAGCTATAAAACACAATTGACAGCTGAAGTTTAAACTTATAGCTATAAAACACAATTGACAGCTGAAGTTCAAACTTATAGCAATAAAACACAATTGACAGCTGAAGTTTAAACTTATAGCTATAAAACACAATTGACAGCTGAATTTCAAACTTACAGCTATAAAACACAATTGACAGCTGAAGTTCAAACTTATAGCTATAAAACGCAATTGACAGCTGAAGTTCAAACTTATAGCTATAAAACACAATTGACAGCTGAAGTTCAAACCTATAGCTAAGCAAATGTACTGCATACTTTCAAAGAGAAACTATAAATTTCTTCTTATTCAACTATAGCTTTGGTAATATTTTTATTAAAACGTTTCACTGAGTGTTTGGAACCAGAATCCTACTGAATGAAAAGTAGCAAAGAAACATCAGCATGAGAGCAAACATACGTAACTTACTGCATTAATCTATTACATATCTATATATTCACATCCACACAAATAAATACAAGTGTACAGGAAACAAGAAATTAAATTCACACCTTACTAGCCCCAACTGTATCACCGATACAGTTAATAACCCAACAAGTATGCTTACCTAGTCGTTCCGACTGGAACCAGAGAGCTAAACTGTCTGGATTCGACTGTTTCCACATCAGCAGTGCCGGTAAACCCGCCGCCGCCACCGGTTACAAGGGGAGTGACTGTTGCCGATGGAACAGCGGCTTCTGTCTGTTTGACGAGTGGCCGCACCGAAGAAGATGAAGATTTATCCTCTCGATGGCCGGATTCTGGAGACAAGGGGACGAGGGGGGAAGCCTGTGGTGATCGGGAACGGCTATCCACTAGAGGTAAAAGAAACAAACAGGTCGTTAGTATAAAGCACAGATGTTATGGAACTAGAAGTATAGTACGCGGCAAACAATGCGCGACTCCTCAACAGCCATTAGCCAAGAGAATCGTTAACAATGATCCGCCAGCGAGAGAAAGATGGACAGACACGTACGGAGGGTGTCGCTTAACTTGTCTGTGCAACATCCTAATTTTAGATAAATTATTTCCTTCAAAGGTGGAAGCCGCTGAAATAGCTCTCATTAATGTTTCGAACAGAAACTAACGGTTTGCCTTATTATAGTGAGTGACAGATTACACCCAATAAAGTACTTGTGTATAATATTTTCTTTCAAATTAACTCAACTGCTTGGTATTTCTTATTGTTTACGTACAAGTTGAAGACACTTTAGAAAAAAATTACTATGCATATGAGCACAGGCGAACAGATGCTACTTTTTAGGTACTAAGTAGTCCTTAGAATTCAACGATTCTCCAATAGTCTTAAGTATAGAAAACGTCATTTATATATATATATATAACGTTTCAAGTAGCAAGACACATGTACATATTAAACAAGGAATTCCAACGGCACTAGGTACACAAGAGTTTACATGAAAACCTGAAATCTGCAAATGAAGTAAAAAGAAAGAGAGATCAATAAACCGGGAAAATTTTACAATAAGATCATTAAGTATCGTACTACCAACTGTACTGTTGAAAATGCCTTGAAAATCAACAGAGTGACAGGGAAATCAAAGATACTGATTAATATCATGCTAGTGGGTAATACCCACACTAACGACAATTACAGATTTGTCATAAGAAATTTCTTTATTCCAAATACTCATGGTTTATTACACGAATGGATCATATGCAATTAAAATAACACGAAGTTCGTAAAAATCACAAACCAAGCGAGCGCTTACTGTAATCAAAATGCCACAAAACGACAGTGTATAGAACGTTGACAGATTTAAGACGGCGCCACCCGGTTGATTTTACTTATTGACTAGAAAATCTGGCAGACACGTTGGACTTTAAAGAACGTTTTGGCTTCCATATCAGCGAGACCCAAGTTAAAGAGAAGAACACACGACAGAAAGTAAACACTAACAGTTGTACAAGAAAAGTTCATTTACTAGAGAAATATAAACATTAAAAGTAGTCACATAGTTTTGAAAGTAGGATAAAATTGCATCGTGATAAAAAGTAAAACTCTAATATTATCATGACGGTAGAAAGAAAACCCAATCACAAAGTAAGAAGACAGAAGAAAGCAACAACACCGTGACGGAAGGATGAAAATAATGACATGATAACAAACTTTAATACAGTAGTGGCAAGAAAAAAAAATCAAGTTATGATGTAAAGAAGACATCACATTATGAAAGAAATTAAAAACTCCAATCCTATCTACTTACCGCTGTCCCACCGTGGGACATGGAGGATGAAAACAAGAAAAAAGAAAACGAACACACTGTGTTAGAATAATGAAAGTAGTTGCATTGTAAAGAAAATAAAATATGCCATTTAGTGTTTAAAACAAAACGTACATAATGTGCTACAAATTAACAGGACAACAGTAAAATCGTTCTTGAAAGAAGAAATCAGACATTTCGTGTGCAAGGCCACTTAAAAAAGTATTATAATATATGTACCTTCTGATTTGAATCAGCACGATACGCAAAGCACTGGAGATTGAGTAGCTATATTAATTAATACGATTTTGAATATGCAACTCAGCAAGTAACGTAAAGTCGCGGTAGAACGGCATGTATCAGACCTACATTTTTGTTGGTGTAACGTAGGTGCTAAAATGGGGGTGGTGGTGGTGGAATGTAACAGCCCATTGCGACACAAAATATTCATAGCCTCAGATTGTAAAGACATGTTTAGATCAGTCATTTGAATTTTTATGACGAGAATATCCCTAGTACTTAATGGCAATGGAAAATAAAGAAATATGGATCAACTTGTGATGCCAGAATCATCCAGAAAGAGACCTGAAACAAGTCGTACCCCTTCCGTGGTAAGAACTACGGCGTCTTGTAGCAGGTGAGAATCCATGAACACAGGGGCAAGAGCCATCCAAGTGCCCTAAGCAGCAGTATGAAACATAATCAAGAAGGATATCAGCATGAAAAACCAACACAGTTTGCTTCTACGACATATCTGTCGCATACCTCTAGCAGCTGAAGGGTAATTATGCTATTCAATACGAAGACATACCCATTAAATCGCAGGTTAATGAGCCTATGTATCTCTGTTAAATCGGGCTAATGAGACGGCCGCTGGAAAATCATCGTCCTTCAAAGCATGCAGTGAGGAGTGGTGTGTTTTGGGCATGACAGCCTTATGATGAAGTATTTTACAATAAAAACCTATGCTGCAATGTTATTGTCCAGATAAAAGATCGTAAAATAGAGCTCCACCAGACATGGTGAGGCACCAAATTCCTTTTAATATAATGTACTCGGCTTACTTACTATTTGCGTCTATCGCACTTTGACTTTACTATTATCCAACGGCACTCTTGGAACAACTTCATCTGTGTTTATTCTCATGAGCATCAGATTGTATGAGCACTCTCATGTATTGAGTAATACCGCAATTTCCTTTGTAACGAGCTCCTTCGAAGAATGACGTGATCAGTCTTGGACCACACATTTTGACAAACTTTTCAGCTTCCAAAATTATTTTTAAGCAGACCAAATCTAAGGATGTCCACCTGCAGGATTTTGTTTGTTTGAATTTATGCACAAAGCTACACTATGGGCTATCTGTGCTCTGCCCACCACGGGTATCGAAACCCGGTTTCTAGCGTTGTAAGTCCGCAGATATGCCGCTGTGCCACTGGGGGCCCTCCTGTAGGAAGTCATTAATTTTGCAGGTATTTAGGAGAGCAGCATGAACATCGGTTCATTCTACAAGAGTTGTAAAAAAAAAGACGTGAAATTTAACGTTAATCATATTTTCTTATCGTCCTACCTACAAAATACAGAAACAGAATCTCCCATAATCGGAATCATTACGACCTCCAGATAATAATTACAGTGCTTTACAGTGCACGTGATGTTTCAAGTTCTCATCTTGCGGTAACAAAAATTTCTATTCCTTCACCATGTTGGAAAGTTATTATAATTTCGTCGTATCGCAGTCTTACAAGCACATCAAAACCTCGAACAATGTTATAATAAACTTCCAACTTAACCCTAAGGTATTTTTCGTACAGTTTCATGCAGTTCGTTTTTCCCTTACCAATGTGTCTGACTTTGAATCTCTTTACTTTGCGAATTCTTATTCGGAAAGGGCTATAACTCTGCATATGCCAAGAATCAGACATATAGGTGCTAAACATGTCACTCATGGCGCCACGGCTAACATCTGCGATGTGCTACTATATTACTATATTAAAATAGTTTTGATAAAGTGTCATAAATCCCCCCCTTATCGGTCATCAAAATCTGCCCGGATTAAACAATCGCAAGAAAGAACCTGTATTCAGTATACTCAGAACGCTACTCATGATTATTTATTTCCAAAAATAACCATTTATTCTACGAGATAACGAGTATAATCTGATGTTCGACAGAAATAAACTTTAAATCGACGTATTGTTTTGGTCAGAAAGACGAAAACTGAAATGATTCATCTGTAAAAATATATTAAAATGACTTTAACTTCGTGAGACAGAAGTTGCTGAACTTCTTAGAATGTTTGATCACAGCCAGGGGTTAAATTTGGGCGGATAGGTTCAGAACGAAATTAGGTCTCTTGAGGACGTAAGCTATTAGCGTTCCTGGGCTTTTGATTGGATTGTCAAAGTGGGTCACAAAAGAGAGTTCTACTTCTTTCAGAAGCCCAATTTAACCATTTCTCTCTGGATGGAACAACTGCATTCCACGGGACTTTGAGAGGAACTCACAATTACCGAAGAAAATCTATCGACTTAGTGGTTAGTTATAAATAACAAACAAAACATACGTTAAATTGTTATATTCAAATGGCATATCAAATTATTAATTGCATTTATTCCACACTTATTCTAAACCTTAGATGATGTTAATGTACAACTTAAGAAATGTCGAGTCCACAACAAAACTACGTTAACACTTCTATGTATGAAAGCACTTTATAAATTAGTTTTGCACCTGGTGTTGTTTCATAAATTTTGGTTCTGCGTTTGTTAAGTGAAAAGCTTATTGTAGCCTTGCGTTCATGACATTCGTAATATGAAAGTGTTTATTGACTAAACCTTCGCACCTGGTTGTGTCTAACAAAGCTTTGGTTCTGTGTTCTTGTGTTACATGAAAAGCCACACCAGCCTAGTGTTTATATGATGTGTGTGAACATGAATACAATCTATTAATTAACTTTGTGCACATTAATAGGATTCACCTAGTCATCAACATTGGTTTGTAAAGAACATCCTCCCAGATTGTTACAAAACTTAGCCTAGTATAGAATTATATATATAGCTAATACCACAGAAACAAATTAACATCGGTGGCAATTTGTCAATTTAAGGTGCTTGCCAATATTTTACTGTTCTTAATCCCTTTTACCTGACGTTATACTGTTGAGATGATCGCGAGGTTTCTTTGTTTTTTAACAGATATATCAAGACGATGAACTTTCTTTCTTCTAGAATTCCTTATACAGTGCCTTCCAATAGTATTCCTCCCCTGCAAAGTTTCCACATGGAACTTTCAAATGGGACTTTATAATTACAATCTACACAATCCACTCCAAAATGAGAAAACTAAAAAAAACGCCGATATTATATAAGTGAGTTAGATTTTCAAAAAAAATACGGCAACCTTAAATCAATTTAGGTGCAAAAGAGTAGTTTGAAAGGTTACAAAATTAGTGTAATGGTCTTTGTCTGTGTGTAATCAAGGTGGTGTTATTAACTTGACTTCAGAGTAATTGCATCTGTTCAAAACACAACTCGTATAGTGATACGACAAACCAACCATGAAGACCAAGAAGCTTTCCAAACAAGTCATGG